GAACTACTTCACAGTTAGGGCGGCTAGGATCTGGAACCGACTTCCAAGGGAAGTGGTGCTGGCTCCTACCCTGGGGGTCTTTAAGAAGCGGCTTGATGCCTACCTGGCTGGGGCCATTTGAGCCCAGTTTTCTTCCTGCCCAAGAAGGGGGTCGGACTTGAAGATCTCCAAGGTCCCTTCCGACCCGACTTCTAGGATTCTATGATCAACAATGGGTTAGATCTAGCGCCCATATTCTGAGTACCAGCAGAAATGAGACTGAATGTACCATTGGCAAGATGGGCCCAGCCCAGAGCAGGGATGCACTAGAGGCAGGTCTTGGTGGGGCTTAAAGACTCAGGCCTCAAGTAAAGAGAGAAGTAGCCCATGGTGTGGAAAAGGGGCTTACCCCTGTCTAAGACCACAGCTCACTGCCTGCCGAGTGAGGCCGTCTGGACAGAAGCTTCCCAAGCAGCAGCCAGTTCATTCAGTTGAGTTGAATCTCATGGCAAGACCGTGGTGCCGTCTGCTCCGTGTGAGTATGGGGTGAGCTGCATCGCTGCTCCTCAGCGCTGCCTGTGTTTCTCTTGCAGACACCAAGGGACTACAGAACCATGTGGGTCCTCACAGACGTGCTCTCCATCCTCCTCATCGCACTCATTTTCGCTCTGCATTGGTAAGTACTGTGCTGCTCGAATCCCCTCCCAGCTGCCCTTTTGCTGGGAGCCCTTGTGCACGCTTCCACCCTAATCTGCACACGTCTAGTGGTAAAGCCAACCCTGCCCCTCCACCTGACACGTGGGTGGTACCAGCACGCTGACGGCATCCTTCTTCTTAGGCAGCTTTTCCAGAATGCCTATGCTCTACTTCAAAGAGGCTGCGAGGCAGCAAATCCTTTTGGGAAAAGGGGTTTCGGTTCCTAAGTTTCCTAGGTACCTTGGAGACCATTTCCTTGGTGCCACATGGTCCCTTCAGGGCTCCAGTTATAGAGCAGGGCCCTAGCATGCCTGGCTAACACAGGACAGCAAAGACAGGCATTGTCCCAGAGTTTATACCAAAAAATGACTGGGGGATTGAGAAAGAGAGAGAGAGACAGAGAGAGAGACCAATTCTCTAGCCTAGTAGAGGCTGCATTTTGGTTGTGTAGTGAAATTTCGCCCGGCATTTCGTTTCAAAGCTGTTTTGATGTGTTTTGAGCTCGAAACAGTGAAATTGAAATGGAACAAAAGCCTTTGAAACAGCTTCGAAACGAAACAAGGGAACTTGAAATGCTTCAAAAGTTTCAAGTTTCGGAGCCAGGTTTACTGGCTTTGGCACCGGTCCCAGCCGGCAGCACCAGCCTTCTGTCATCTGGCAAGCAGAATGGGGGCTCCCCGCACCCCTGGGAGGGCTGCAGGGGCTGTGCCGGACTCCTCCCGGGGGTGCAGGCCCCTGATCTGCCTGCCAGATGACAGACAGGTGGTGGGCGCAGCCCGCACCCAGCACCAGGAAGATCAGTGCTGCTGCTGGCCCCGGGTGTCAGCAACTGGCTCCTGTTACCCAGCAGGGAGATCAGGGTCCACGCACCCCCGGGAGGACGCTAGCACAGCCCTGCAGCCCTCTCGAGGGTGCAGGGAGCCCCTAGTCTGCCTGCCAGATGAGAGGAGCTGGGTGCTGCCTCCTCAGTCCGGCGGCAGCAGTGTTCTTCCCCGTGCTGGTCCCAGGTGGTAGCACCTGCCTTCTCTCATCTGGCCGGCAGATCCAGGGGTCACACCCCCAGGAGGACTCAGGCACAGCCCCAGCAGCCCTCCCAGGGGTGCCAGCGGGCCCCCATCTGCCTGCCTCCTGCATTTTATGTTTCCCCATAATAACCTATGGGCAAAACATCGAAACAGCGTCGAAACAGCAAAACAGTTTCGATGAAACGAAACGGAACAGTGCTTTTGAAACTAAACAAAACTGGAAACGAAACATTGTTCCGTCGAATCGTCGAAACGGAAGTCGAATGAGAACGATGCTGTTTTGCACAGCCCTCGTGGAGTGCAGTGTGCCAGTGAGCCCACCAGGCAGAGCATTTAGTCCTTTCCAGAGGCTGGACCCAGCCTTCACCTCACCAGGCCATCTCCATGCATTTTGCTTTTCCCAGGTGGAGGGAGCAGAGCTGCTCCTGCTGTTCCAACAACAGCGGCACGGTGCTGGAGAACAGCACGTACAACAAGTTTCGGACTGGTGAGTCAGGCCTGCGGGGCCGCGGCAGCTGTGTATTCCCCTGTGTGGGTGCGTACTCACTGAACGTGGGGCACTTCCATGTTGCACAGCATGGTAGGGGGATGCGGCACCTCACAAGCCCTGCCCATGTCAAAGGCAGTGCCCAGCTGGCGCAGCGGCAAAGGGGACCTAGTCATTCAGGGTGGGCAGTCCAAGGTGGCTGAAGGAGATGCCAACCACATCACTCGCTTGTGTGGTGTTGGCTAAGCTGGTGGGCCATCATCTAACCAGACTGGTGAGCTTAGGTTCAGGTGGACCTTCACCTTCTCAGTACTTAATAGCCAAAGCCCAGCAGCCACCTCTCACCAGGGCAGTGCTGCACTATTTGGGATGCTTGAAAACACATTGGCAAACCCATCTAACCAAAACTTGCCCTGGCAGAGAAAAGCATGTCCTTTCCCACCACCTTGGTGACTTCACACCGAGCTGCTGACACAACAGGCTGCCCACGGCTTGCAG